GATCAATTGCGTTCACATCGCTCGGGCCTGCAGTAGAAGTACGCTTGTGGTTGGTGTCTTTTGGTTGTAGCGGCTAATCGGTGCCAATCGTAAGTTCTCGAGTCGACCCACGGAGTATTTAGACAAGTCTTGTGATCCTGTTTGTCAATTTCCCCTGGATACTACGTTGTTACGTGAAAACATGCAGATAATTTAAGTTATGATGGTAACTTATACACAGGGACCACACAGTCCCTTGAAGTGGTTCACAGTCTTTTGTGTGGGAGAGAGAAAAGAGCGTTATGGGGTTAAAGATTTGTTTGCCCGATGTTGTCTCAGCCACCGTATGTCCATACCAGACTATGTCTAAACCTCTTATAGAAGACTGCACACTGCCCCAGCTACTAAATTGTAATGGAAACGCAGCATAAAGTGAGCCTGGCCTACCAAAGAAAGCCCCAAGGAAGTGCGCCGGACTCTGATGAAAATATTCGTTGTGTCCAAATGGCGGTACTACAATTTCCGTATCAGTCCGTGACGTCATTGGGCCCAGAAAGAGTTTTTCACATTGACTAACATCGGGAAAAAAACATCTGTAAATCAGTGGATACTTTTTATTAAACTAAATAAACTACCCAGTATGGACTATTTTATAGCCCTTATTATAATCATTAGGTCCTTAAAGTTGTAAAATGCACTAAAAGCCGAATCTAGATTTATTTTCTGTCTCCATTCATTCCACTGAGCCAAGAGTGGGAGCTCAGGGGCGGGGCTTAAGGGGCGCATGCTCTGTGAGCGCACATCAGAGTCCTGCATCGGGTCGGGTATCCGCGGGTACCCGACGGGTGACCCGCAAAAAAGGTGATTTGCGGGTGGTATTTTTTCAAACGCTTTTTTCCGGGTTCGGTTCTGGGTAAAACAAAGATGATGCGGGTCCGGTTGCGGGTGTTGCATAATAAATATAAATAATAATAATAATTTTGTTTAATGTTTAAATCCTCAGACCTCTCCACCGCGGGACCGAGCATAATCATAACCTCTGCAGCGCATCTATCTGCTGCTGAGCGCGCCACATTCTGAATGGCTGAGGTGAAGCTCTCTCGCGGAGAATACAGCATTTTCAATAACTCTTCGTCAAGAGCGAAATCCAAAGTCTGGGAGTCTTTTGGTGTCATCCTAGATGGAGAAAATAACCAACGTCCCACGCTTTTTGAGCCAAATATGCAACTGCGTGTGTTAATAATTGCACGTTTTCACTGCTCATATATAGCCTATGCGGGTTCGGGTCGGGCTGCGGATCTTGTGCCGGCGGGTCGGGTCGGGTTGCGGAACTATTTGGTTATATGTGCGGGTAGCGGGGCGGGTTCGGTATTGCACGTCGCGGGTGCGGGGCGGGAGCGGGTCTTGAAAATCAGACCCGTGCAGGACTCTGGCGCACATATGGGTTCTTCTTCTCTGAAAACCAGGCATGATGGGTAATCTGTGACGTTTCGCTCTCTCAAAAGTTGGGCCATTTTGTCTTCCTGCGCCAATGAGCAGCTCTCATAGGAAAGAACGAGAGCCCGCCTCCGACGCTGTATCCAGTTCTTATTATACATCCATGGGCCTAACTTTACCATATTAAGCCGTGCGAGGCCCTGGCACATTTCCACTGCTTTCCGTCTTGTTGAGCAGCACATTATATTATAGCAGTGCACGGCTGAGGGTGTTGTTTTAAAGTTGGTTTGTCAATGAATTTGATATATACTGAATATATAATGCCATACGGTTTGAAAAGACTAACTAAAGACTTTGAGATCAACTTATTTTAACGGAATATTCAAACAGGCAGGGAGACAAAGCCATATGTAAAGAGAAGTGAAAAGGAAAATATTCTTTACTTTATTTTGTATAGCTATGAGCGTAATTGTTCATCCTCAGTCAATAGATAAATCCGTTCAATACTAATTCTAAGAAATTGGTCAAATCCTATAACTAGTTCTGTACTGGCTTTGACATACTATTGTTCAGCAATGCTGTAAATCGCCCCTCTACTAGCTTAGCCCCTGCTGGGACAATGCTCTATAGATTGAGCTGTTTGGTGGCAAGTAGTGGAAAATAGAAAACTCAAAAAAGCCAATGACATCAGAAAAGGGTCGATGAGGGTTGCGTGGACTGTGTGGTTTGTGTAGCAGGAAGCTGGTGATGAGTCAGGACAGGAAGTTGGTCGGTGCCGTTCATGAAGAAAGCCTCGAAGGCTGTCCGCTGCGATATGAGAAAGATGGGAGATCTTGTCCTCGTGTGACAAAAGTGCTTTTGTTTAACAACGGGGTCACAAGAACACAGTCAGGGTTTTGTCGCGGGGGAGAAGATGATAGAAACATGATAAAAACGGGGAAAGATTGGAGAGGAATGTGTGGGTTTCTCTGTGTCTGACTCAAAACCCTTAAGGCCAAGTTGGCTTGAGGAGTGACATCATGCTTTTTGGTATGTCCGACAGTTTTAGCTTTTTCTACGCTGACAACCAATTAGAATGATCACTGTGTGAAGCTTGTGATTGTATGTGAAGTTCTTAGAGCAAGTTTAAAGAAAGGATCCAAATCTATCTCCACACTGTTATGCAAGCAAAAATCCTTCTCACTTAGGATAGATGGTGGTCATCTTGGCTGCTGCGTATCCCGGCTTGCACGCTCCTTCGCTGAGGTTGCCATACTTGTACGCCAACTCCTGTGGCCTGCACATTAAAGAACAGAGGGAGCAATTAATCAGACACATCGTGATAACTGATTATCAATTACACTGACATATATCTAAGCCTCGAAAACGGAGCTTGTCAAACAACGTGCTCAAGAAAAAAACGGGTGGTTTAGGAAGTTGGAGGGCTCAGCATCACCTGTGTGTGGCAAGACAAAGCAGAGGGGCCTTGTTCAAATAATCACACAGGCGGTGCTAAAGCTAGAAACTCCCGATTACTAGCATGGTCATTAATAACCTGGTGAAGGCCATGAATCTAGTTCAAATAAACAGGGAGAAGGGGGAGAGTCCAAAGTCAGGGCACTGTGTGAGGCATTCCCCCTTTTAAATTGAATTGTCTTTTTGCCGCTTTTAATTGAACTACTTATGCACTGTAACTTTCATTCATGTATTTTATAGCTGTATTACTCTATATTAGCTTTGTTTATGTTTATTCTATTTTTATTGACGGTTTTTAAAAGCCATTTTGTAGTGATTTCGCGACACTTTTTGTTAAAGCTCTTGCTCTTAACGCTTTTCAATTTTGTAAAGCACTTTGAATTGCCTTTTGTTGAAGTTGCTATAAATAAATCGCCTTGCCATCTGAGTTGGCAGAGGGCTTGTGCACAAATTTGAAACTCTTCTGCACTAAATTTATATTTGTAAGTATGCTACAATAAAGCTTGGCCTTAAGTTGGTATGTGGTTTGTTAGGAATGAAGGTTATCAGCAGGAATTACAACTCACAAAAACTAATAAAGAGTTTTAAGATGGATTGCCCCATTTTACACATGTGCTCTAACGGAGTAATGAATGAGACTGTAGATATAATGTAAGGAGCCGTATTAGATAAACTGAAGCCATGTGAAAACCACCCTAACGTGTGTGCTGACAGTGCTTACAGTACGGTGTGCAGAGTGTGGACAGATGTGCCCTGTGAGAGTCGGGGTGGTGAGGGGAGCATTACGATTGTTGCCTGCATGCTAATGGGAGGGCTGGAGAGAAGGCCTTATCGTGGCAGTTTAGAGCCAGAGTGTCAAACCAATTCAGGGAATTATACACATATCAACAGACACACTGACACAATGACAGCTGGGTAATGACTCAACGTAGCATGTTCTCAGCCTGACAAACCACAGCCGATTTGGAATAAAGAGGGGGAAAAGACCGACCACATCTCAATTTCCACAAATCTTTCTATGTATTACTCAGAGCACAAATTAACCATGTGCATTTGTCACCAGGTTTTGGTTAGAACACCAATGAACTGATGTATGTTTATTTAAAAAAAAAAAAACTAAAGATTCATTGGTTGAAGGTTTACGTTTTCATGTTTCCAATCGATCAACTAGAAGTGGCATGAATAAGTATTCAGTGGAGCAAGCTGTTAAACAAATCCAAATTAATGGAGTCAAAGTACAACTGGGGATTCAACTGCTCTAAATATATTAGGTGATAAATATACCATATTTGAAATGGCAGAAAGGTTTTTATAGAAAGACATGTACTCACAGTTTTGTGTCCAGCTGCAGCAGAAAGCCCTGCTTATCATACACTGGAAAAGACAGACAGAGATAGATAGAAATTATCGCACAGATCTACAAAGATAGAAAGTACAGCATCTGAAAACGTTATATAGTCGGATCATTAGTACTGCTCATCCAATGTACATCGTTTTCAACTATCAGCTCATTGGCTGTAGTTGTAAACAACCTCTGCATCGCTCACAGGGGAAAACAAAATGGCGAATGTAAAAGAAAATAAAGCATTAGAATTAAGGATTTGTGAGGAAAGAAAAACAAGCGCGATTAGGGAGAAGCCAGCCAAAACAATCTGTTGAAAATAAAGTTAGAAAAAAACAAGTTAGAGATCACCTATAGACAACCAAAGGGGCGGCCAATAGGTGCCTGGTGAAGCGTTAAGGTAGAAGACAGAGAAGCACAAAGGTAAATATGTATGGAGAGATTAGAACGTTATTCTCAATGTTATCGATTGAGTATCTATGTCGTGTATTCTATAATGATACTTATAGATCAGAAAAGTGCTAACAAGTTATATGAATTTCTGTCAGTAAAATGCTGTGGTTAGCATGACGAAGGCTACGTTTAAGATGGGCATTAGTTGAAAGTAGGAAGAGCGTGGTATTACTCCTGTGGTTGCGGATCTTGTCTTCACAGAGAAGCTGGAGGAGAAAGATAAAGAAAAAGACAATGGGAATGCGTGACGGCTGGTTAGGGAAGGATCCAAGCACTGCCCTCCCTGGAGGATTGGGACTTAGCCATAGCAGCCAAGAAGAGCAAGAGTGTGTGTGTGTGTGTGTGTGTGTGTGTGTGTGTGTGTGTGTGTGTGTGTGTGTGTATGTATATACTATGTTTCTGTTGAGAAGCATAAAGCAGCCAGAGGGCCAAGCCGAGGCAGCAGCTTGGGAGAAATCAAAGCGGCAGGGTCCTAACCAGTAACACAAATGTTGTTGTGTGGAAACAGTATTATGCATCAAAACGCCTGCAGACTGCTTCACTTGCCAACCATTTTGTTACTGAGCCAGGACAACAGAGGGCAGTGTTGTATCACACTTCATGTGGAGAAAGAGCTGAGCAGATGTTGAGTTCCTCACTAGTAGTCAGATTTGACTTTGAATTATTTCCCCTGATAGTAACTGTTGGATGCAAATGGCTAGCTTTGCAAACCAAATGTGGCTGCTGAAGTATCGCAGGGTTTTAAAAGAGGTTTTGTTATTTTCTTTTAAAAGGTTGCGGGAGAATTAGATGAGTGGGGGTTCGGTTGGTGGGCCTGCAGATGTACCTGAGCCTACTATTCGTCCCCCGGTGATTTCCGTTTCCAACTCTGAAACACAAAATGGTCAGTTAGCACCGTTTGAGCTCAGCCTGTCATGGCAGCAATGGACTTGAAATTAAAGCCAACTGCAAATGTCCGACATTACAGAGAAAGAGGAGGAGATGGTAGAATTTAAATGGCAGCCCAGTAGGATTAAAGCTGCCAATTGTCAATCTTAATTCAAAGGTGGAAAGCCCAATGCAGGGGAAAATTAACCTCATTGTGTTTTTGAGATTATCATGGCAAACGTATATTGAAAGATTCCAATTAAGGTCAATGAGTGATTGAGCACTAAAATATCTTTGAATAAAATAAATATATTATAGTGGTGAGCAATTATAGGCTGCATGGTTGAGTTAGCAGAGATGTTTATTCCAAGCCGAATAAATTGTTTGACAGTCACCCAGTCATAAACGGGCAGGGTCTCAGTGCCTCTACCTGGAATTCTTTTCACTTCTGCCCCTTTAGTCAGGACTACAGTTGTCTCTTCTGCATCACTCTCTGAAAACAAAAGGGGGTTAAGTCACTGTGGAGATGTGGAAGCAACTATTAACCAAGACCAAAGAACTGAGAATATTATTTTAAAAAAGCAACAACATTGTCAGCAAAACAGACTGTGGCATCGCACAAAAACAAATGCACACAAAAGGCAGACAGAGACGAAGGAAACAAAATTTCAAAGGATTAATGCTGATCCTCCAATATCTGCCATCACAGTAGAGACATTCATGGAGAACTAGCTTTAAGAATCTGAAAGTAAACGAGTTTCTCACTTTTTTTGCAAAGAAGCTGTGGGAACCGCACTGTCAGACCCACAGCGAACGACTGTGACTTACTCTGAACATCCTAAAAGCCATGATTATTATGGTGAATTAAAATTGTTTTGAAACTGCTATTACTCTACATCCCCTTTTAGATGAATCATTTTACTTTCCTTTATCGAATAGATACAAACAAGAGCGTTAGCTTCAAACGAAACCCCACACAGGTATTAGAGGGGAAAAAAGACAAAAATGTCTCTCGCTTCAATCAAGACAATCAGAGGACAGCTACCACGTTGTTTATCCAGGATTACATATTGCAAAACTACAAAGCCCAGTCAGAAAACAGAGCAAGAACAAACATGACGGCATTCTTTTATTAAAAGCAGTAAGCACACACCCTCTCCGTGTGAGGGCTTCTGGCAGATCAAATCCCCCAATTAGGAAGTGTCAAACTCTGTTCCAGCTGAAACTGTATAGGCGTATCCCTGCTGACCACGAGAGAAGGTAATCCCTGATGTTGAAAACCAAGCTGGGGTCGGAAATAATTAGAGACTGCTCCCTAGGCAAATTCAGACATCACCACTGAAAATGGCATAAAGGAAAATACAGATTTGTTATAACCAACAACTGGTTTCTTTGTCATAACATCTCTATGAGCAAATTCATTGTTTTACTTTAGTCAAGTGTTTTAAGGCTTAAGTGAAGGGTTGAGCGTTGTGGCATGCAGCTTGGTTGGTCGAAGAAATGTAGTTCTCTCCCTGCAGGTGTTCATTTCAAGGGCAAACCCCAATGAGGTACTGTTCCTGTTACAACCTAAAAGCAAATTATTTTAAGCGACTATTGGGAGGCTCTGAATTCAAACGGAAGTGTGGTGCAACTGCATTGCACAACAACGCTTCTGTCAAAGGTTGAAGAAGTTAAATACAAGTGTTGGCCAATCTGTTTGGAACATCTGTGCAACAACGGGGGACAGGCTGAAAACAACATTTACATGTGTGAACAACTTTTCAGCTAACTCTTTAAACTGATGCTTTTCACCCACACTTGAACCATTAACACAATAAGAGAACGGTAACAATGATTGCCCTAAGAAATAAAAGATGGACCCAACGCAAGGTGAGTATACGACATTATGTTGCCCCTACGCCGTCCATATTTCTAAAACACAAAAACCTGTTATCACATGACCAAAATACAATGCTTCGTATGTTGTAACAAGTACATCGTTTTTAAAAACAGAGGCTTGAAACTCCATCTGCTCCATGAAAGCCATGAGATGTGGCGGAAAATTCTGGCAAATTGTTAGGAACAGCAACATTTTTCTGGTTAACATGATGACTTTATCTCAGCTATTTTAAACCTATCTCTGTAGCCTCCATCCCTTACAGTATGTATCAATACATTTAAATACTCTATTTAGTGTCCACTAACATATCTCTAACAAGGTCAACAATAATCTATGCCCTGCTGAACTGGAAAAGAGGATCAAATCTCTGTTTAATACTAGCAACATGAAAGCAGTTGTACAGTTGTATTGTAATTGCCTTCATTGACCATAAAAATAATCTGGCGGCAAATGAATGTTTGCTTCAATAACAACAACGTTCATGTCTGTGCGGACCGACATCATCGAACTGCTTCTACTTCTACATTTTAAATGCACACACAGCAATTGAGCAGGCTGTATTCATGTATTTCATTTTAGGGCTTTAATTATCATTTGAGTTGAATGAGACAGAAAAAAAGCCAGAGAACAAGGCAGATAAGAGGCTCTTGTGTGTCGGGCACAGAACATTTTGAAATTGTTTACTAAGAACCCTCCTAGCAGCTACAAATAATTACAACTAGTAGATAACTATATGTGTTGGGGAACACAAGAGGACCATTGTTGAAGAGACAAAAGATAAAGTGGACACAACACTGCAAGCTTACGAGAGACAAACACTGCAGCTGATAGAGGAATGGCCATGGTCACATGAACCTGCTCTGATATTGACATTCTAGAGCAGAGTCAACAGATAGCGTAAAACAAACGGACCATGGGAACACTGAATCTGATCTTTGGTTGAACACAAATACAGTAAAAGGGAACAGAATTCAGCGCTGATCTGATCTATAGATATAGAGGCCCTGATGGAATATCACTTTCCTTTGTACCCCAATTTCAATACCCAGATATTTCACCTGGATGTCATACTATAGTGCATCACAATCCTTTGTTTTCTGCTGCAAAGAAGACAGAAACTAAGAGGCCGATGAATAAGCAGATATGACGAGCAGGAGATAATCCTCTATATGTTCCATTTGTCTGTGGAGCGGTGACTGAGTCTCTACCATTACAATTGAAGAACGAGGAAAGGAGATCATCCAGATTTGATCCTCTCAGCGCTACAGCGTAGCTGACCATGGCAGAGGGTGCGAGAGAGCATCCACATTCTCCTCTTTCTCCTTTGACCTTTTTTAAGCCGAACATCTGGCACCACAGTAAGGGGAGAAAGCCAATATGTCCCACTGCAATCAAAGCTCCTCTCCTTTTGCTTTGTGCTATTGAAGCGCAAGTCAGAAAGAAATAAGCCCCATTATTTTCACATCAAAAGGTGAGTCAAGCTGTTATTCAAATAAACATACTGCTTCTCATATCAGTCCCATGCAGGTGACCATACAAGGTTGAAAGCATATTACTTCACTGCTAGGGAGTTATGCATGTTGATCATGCATTAAGAAAAAAATGGAAAGTGTGGCACTCGCAACATAAAACAAGAGCCTAGTTACAGAGACCTAGGTCACAGCTTGAGAAATCAGATATGAAACGCAGCCAAGGTCAGCTGACACGTACCTTCAGTGGTGCCGTATACAAAAAGAGGAGGCGTTTAAGTGATAAAGACAAATGCTATGTTAGAAAGAATCAACTATTCCAAAAAAAGTAGAAGTATATAAAAATAAAAAAGTTATAAAATAATTAAGTGATATTCCGACACATTTAAGTAAGGCAGTTTTCAAAAGCCATCCCAATGTGGACAAAGTTCATCACATGCCGGAACAGGCATAAAAAAAAACAGGGGGCAAAGAAAGAAACTATTTTGTTGTGTATGGAAAACGAGATTTAAACCGCTGCTTCAGGGCGCCCACACATTGTGACATGATTCATCCCTCTTCCTCTACCAACAGTTTGCAATTAAAGAAAGGCTTCTTACTTGAAATAGGCAAACATGTTAAGCACTGACTCATTATTTAAAACATATTCAGTGCTGGTTAAATAGCAATTTCAGACGGCAACATAGCACATCTGATTCTGATTGTTTTTTTGGACTTTCACACAGGTCTGTTATGGTGGAGCTCCATGTTCGAATATAACAGAATACTTCTACACACAGAGAAAATCCATGCTTGCATTCCTGGCATATAATATGAGGAGACATGTGCAGCCCTATTTCGACCACAGTGGGAACAATGATGGAGAAAAGTGATGAGTTGAAAAAAAGGTAATGACATCGATGAAGAAGAGCTTTCTCTGGAAGTTGTTTTGCAGTGTAATGTTTAGAAATGGTTACATGTACATACTGGTTAAGGGTGGGGGGGAAGTCTGGGCTCATTTGCACCCCTTAAGTTTATTTATTTATTTGTATTATATATACTATTGTGTATGTTCTTTCCCACTAGGACTATGTATGTCATTAAGTATGGTATTCCTGTCATGCTATGTTTTTTCTCTATTATTTCTTGTTGGCTGTTCTGTTTGTCTTCTATGTTGAAAAAGGGAAGCATGATTTCCACCCCAAAGAAGTCTGTACTATTGCTTACACTAAGTGCTTCTTCTCAATACAAATATTTGAAACATTTACATACTGGTTGCAATTTGGCACATGAAGTGTGTAGTGAACAATGATAGGCTTCAATAAAGAAACTGTTGAAGAACTTCAGAAGCTGTCTTCATGTCAAGTGACAAAATGCTCTCTCCTTGGCTTGACTGCTTCAGAAATCGGTTGTTTAAGCATCAATACATTGTGTCCTAACTTCCATGATCTTCAGTGTATGCTTAGACGATTTGAACACATTTGACCCTCACATGGGTTTGGTTACAAAGTCAATTGTCAGAGAAACTGGTCAAAAAAATGAAACATTGTCATGTAAGAGTTTAGGAACATGTAAGGAGTAATACACATGTCTGAATGGTGCTCATGATATAATACCAAAGACAATAGGCCACTGATAACTGGTTCTGCACAATACTGCATATTTGCATCACACATGTAAACAATACTGTATATTGACACATGCAGAAGTTGGGAAAGATACAGACCGCAGAGCAGTGGATATGTTTATCTGTCAGGCTACTACATACTGGTTAGGATTACAATGATTACCAAAAAAAAGCATGAAACTTTTGACAGAACACTGTCCATTTAGCTATGCCATCAACACTAATATTTGTGTTTTCTGTGCCAAAAGCTCTCCCTGAGAATGCTTTCATAGAAAATATATGGCACCGGCAAAGAGGTGTTAGAAATATTCTAGCCCCCTCTGGTGGAGTTTACCAGCTGTTTCAGGGTGCCCACACAGTGTGATGTAAACCAAACCCCTGTCATGTCGGTTATCACTTCTTAGTCAAATAGAACGGCCAGGTCTATCATCCGCAAACAGTTCTCAATATGAACTCAAACGCTCCGGATATCCAACATTACAAGGAAATCCAACTGACTCATAACCAACACCAGAAACACGTCATGGTTATTTTTAAATGCAATGCCAGAGGGCGTGCCTTTTTAGTATGTAATAAAGGGAACTGCAAAACAGAACCTTCACCATCTAAGCGTGGAAATCTCAAGATGTCATTGCCTACTCCTGTAGTATGCTATGCTGTCTCTAAGACAGTCAGCAAAGGTTTCCATCTCTTTGGTTAACTCATAGGTTTTCTTACTAAGCCGATTGCTAGGGCTGACAGTAGATTTCCATCAGTAAGACGACCTGCACAGGATGATTTTCAGTAGAGATAGAGCAACCCAACCGGCAAGAAAACCTGATTAACGCTCCCCACTACTTCCGGTTCTCTGGTGATGTGAATGATCAATATCAGAGACAGGTTTTGAGAAACACAGCATGACATACGGTCCAGCAGAAAGACTGTAGAATAAAACCAAATAAACAGGTGGAAATAGGCAGACGGTTAACAGGCAGTCAGCAGAGAGAAGCAAAACAGAGACAGGTGTCAAACACATTTGCTTAATAGTTTTTTTCCAGATGGATTATCAGGAGATGAGTCACATTACAAACAGTCATACTGGAGATGTCACTTACGAGGCTTCGGGCCCCATACGTGTAGATGCAGCTTCCCGGAGGAGTAGTAAATAAAGCCCAGGACCAGCGTGGGGCACAGGATGAACAGCGCCTTGTGTGTGGGCTTCATGGTCTTCATTATTCACATGTCACCATCCAGCTCATCACCTGAAGGACAAGAGAGTGCAGGGACATAGTATTGATACTAGGGATGGGAATTGAAAGCAAATGTATATTCGAATATTCAACCCCCAAAAAAACGGTTAACCGATTAACCGAAATGTACATATCCTATAAAAATAAAAAAATGTGGGGGAAAAATGTACAAAAAAAACAAATAATAATAATTTGGACAAATAAATAAATACATGTTCAAATAAGTATAGAAACCAAGTCGGCTTTGTCAAATGTATTGAACTGGTGATCACAGTTTGAACAGTTGACAGATAGGCCAACAGCTTTCATGCTTAAAACATAACTTGTTTTTTAAATTAAAGAGGGATCATACACAAACAACATAACCGGTTAGGGTAACGTAACTCGATTACAACCGAGATCAACAACCGATAACAGGGCCAATGCAGAGAATGCAGCTATTCAATACTCATTCTTGTTTAAGAATATGAGCATGTCTACATGCTCAGGGGAGAGGCGGGTGCGGAGGCGATTCACAATCAGGCCAGCTGTAGAGAAGACCCTCTCAGCTGGAATTTGGGGAGAAGATGAGGTTTGAGTCTGCGTGTAGGGAGGGGCAGCAGCCATATCATTAGCTAGAACTAGCTAGATCTGATGGATTTGGACATAAACGCGAGTAAAGTATAACCGGACGCAAGAGAGAGAGAGATCAGCACCTGCAGCTCTGCCCGCTGTGAGGGTCCGGTGAGCGGAGCAAAACACACCTTTAGACCTAACACATTTAGCTATGGCACTGTCGTATACATTGAATTATTCCATTTGATAATATGTAATCAACTTAGGCACCCCTCCCAAAAAAAAAATATATTCNCTACCTGACCGGAGTCACGCTGTGTTCTGTTTACAAGTAGTTCCAGCAAACATCCACTGATAAACTGCGATGTTAACAACCTCATGATAACCTCATTGGTTTCACATTTAGGCCCAATCCCAAACCACTCCCTCGACCCTACCCCTCATGTGGACGGAGGTGAACTCCTCTGTAGCACACTCGCAGCTCAACTGAGACTCCCTCCTGTCAGATGGAGGAAGTAAATACAGGCGCAACTTTGGGACGGGCTCCGCCTCTCTCGGCATGAGAACAGAAAGTGCCGTAACTGTATGTAACAACGGTTTCAAATCAGCATCTCTTTGACAACAAATAAAAGGAATAACTAAAATAAAACTCCAAACATCTTTCATTGTGTTTCAAAGCTCTTTTAGTTTTAAACCTGATGTTTATAAGCTTCTTAGTTTTTGCAACGGTCTGTAAATATACACAAGTTTATAATAAAATGCACACATTTACCTTTTTCTAGACTGAACTGAGCTGCAACATAATACAGACAGGTAATAATCAACAGAATCACAAGGACATTATATGGCTCCACTCACCCATAAGTTACGTTTTTATTTACAGTTTGGAAGTCTCAAATATACACTCTAAATCCATATCAATAGCGATGTATCACAAAAATAGCTCTCATCCTTATTATTGTGTAACGTTAACTATAATATACTAGCTTGAACTCCAAAATGGATATCCTCATTTCACCACTTCCACCCACTACAATCACAC